CTCTCTTCCTACCAGCACAGCACCCCCCTGCTGCTGCCAGCCGCCTGTTACAACAAACCCAATCAGCTCCCTCCTTTGGCAGAAGGGACTTAACTCAGAGAGTGAGTCCACATGCTTCTGTTTGTCATAAAGACCTTTTACAATGTGGCCTTCCCTTCCAGCCCCCTTGCCACCCCTGGGTGCACTTCCTGTGCTATGTTGAGTTTGTCACCATTTCCTGGCAGGCTGAACCTTTTGCAGTGCTGTGCCCTTGCCTCCTCTCTGCCCAGGAGGGTCTTACACCCTGCAGCAGTGCCCTCGCCATTTTGCACTGTGTTGCTCTGTTTAACGTCGTGAATTCCGTGGACACAGCGATGCAGGGACTCCTGGCTTACTGGGGAAGGGTCCTCAGTGTCTGACACTTAGTTGTTCATTGCTTAGTTGTTCGTTGCTGTTTTAGTAGTTTGGTTTTCCAGGTGGACTTGCCTACCCAGTGACCATGCATGTTTAGACTTCTTGGCGGTATTGTTTATTGTTCCTAAATAAATTGGTGTTTGAATGTGTCAGTCTTCTGTGAGTTTGGTGGCTGTGAGTCAGGTCTCCATCTTGAGCTGTGTCTGGGGAATGATGAGATGGCATGCTGTCCTTCAAGGCTGTAGGCCAGGCCTAGAACACTGTGAACCCTCTGATTCTCTGTGATTGAAAACAAATGTAGCCATGACAGTATACGTTTAACGGGCTTGCCTGTGGTGGAACTGTGATGTTAAATATCGTCCTGGTACCCCTGTGACAGGACAGTGGAGGGGAGTGTGATGGGCAGAGCCAGGAAGCCAGGCCACACCAGGTCCAAGGCCCTTGAAACCGCTGTTCTCAGAGCATTTCTGAAGTTGGTGCATCTTTCTGTTGCACCTGAGCAGGAGGTTGCTGGCGGGTTTTGCATATGCGGTTTTTCTGTCTGTAGAGGATCGGGAGAGTTTGGTGGTCCCCTTGCGAGCTGGTGAACGAGAAAGTGTGCAGGATGAGAGCTGACCTAGAGACCGGGTAGTGCTGAGCTCCTGCTTTGGGCCAAGGCCCGTTGAAGGGGCTAGAAGAACAGAGAGGAATAAGATTTGGCCTCAGCCCTGGAGCAGCTCAGCCTGCTGGGGGTCTTCTAAAACCGAATCTAGGGTGGAAAGAAGGGGGAAGGTGTGCCAGAGGTTCTTTTCCTTTGCACATTCTGAAAGTGCTGGCCCCACTCACGGGCTGGAAGGGGCTGCTCCGCATACCGCAGGACACTTCTTCCTGCCACCTCAGCCAGCTGATTAGGCAAGTGCTGGATGCCGGGGCTCAGGCAGGCGGCCGGAATCTGCCAGGAATGTGGAATTGAGGTGCCAGGCTGCAGTAGTGGGGAAGCTCCGGGGCTCTGCAGGTGGAGCGCAGGAAGGCGGCTTGCAGGGAGAGTGCTGAGGCCCTGGGCGAGCCCAGGCAGGCATCAGGGACTGAGGATGGCCTGGCCTGCTCACCTCCCCACCTGCCTGCTCTGGGGCTTTGTGTCCTGAGCTCCCAGTGTCTGTGCAGAGCGCCACCTCCCTCCCAGCTATTGGAACTGGTTTTGTTCCGTTTGTTGAAATGTTCCTTAAGAAAGACGGTCCCGGAAAAGCGGGCACATTCCAGCTGAGTCTTTCTGCAGACGCTGTTGGTGCCTTCCTTTTTCTGAGATGAGGAAATGCTCTGCCGTCTGCACAGGGGATTCATGGCGTAAGAATTTGTGTTTCCTTCATTTTGAAAAACTTTGGTCTTATGTTTATATAAAGTTTTCCCAGCTGAACTGTGAGGGCAAAAGAAAGGAATTTGTTTCATGTTGTTTTTTGTTTGCAGGTTGGCCTTAAGACAGCAGCATTTTCCTGAAGACCCAGAACCGGCCGAGAGGTGAGAGAAAAGCAAGGTAGTTAAGGACCACAGCAGAAAAATCGGGAATCTCCTCTGTAGTCAGGCCCCTTTCGATAGGTTTTCCTTCACCAACGTTCAAATTCTTGGAAAAAATGGTGTTTGAGGGGAGAAGAAGTTCCCTTTACACAGCTTCCCATTAGTATGAGACCATTTCATGAGCCATATCTGACCTACTCTTTTTTAGCTAGAACCTTGTTGCAGACCCTGGTGCAGTTAATTTTCCCACCAGTATTGCTTTGGTGACAACCCAGTAGATCTTGATACATAGGATATAAATTTTCAAAGAAGACAGTGTTTCAGTATCTCAGATCTACACCCACCTGTTTTTTTTTTTTTCCTTAAGATTTATTTATTTACTTATTTATTTGAGAGAGAAAGAGACAGAGAGAGAGCTGGAGCAGGGGGGAGAATCAGGCTCCCCGCTGAGCAGGGAGCCCGATGTGGGACTCGATCCCAGGACCCTGGGATCATGACCTGAGCTGAAGGCAGATGCTTAACCAACTGAGCCACCCGGGCGCCCCCACCCACCTTTATTAGGAGAATAGATTTAATATTCCAAGAATCCAGATTTTTTTGTTGTAGTTTTGTTATTCCTAATTTTATTACATTGTGTTGGAAAAGTACTAGTACCTACAAATACTACTGTTTTGCATTTACTTTACTTGTGGCTTCGTATTAGATTAGTTATGACAGAAGGCACGTATATGCTTTTAAGAAATTATTTCAGGAACTCCCCAAAGTGAAGGTTTAACACGGGATTTCGTTTTTACGTTCTTCCTATGAGAAATTACTCTTTTGTTCCTTTGTTTGGGAGTCTTGCCGTTATGATTATTGAGGGCCACAGCCATGGCAAACACGGTGGTGGCACGCCAGATCAGGGGCATGCGCAGTCCACCAGCTGCCTCCGCAGGGACCTGGCTGTGTCCTGAGCTGCAGAACAAGGGCCCTTGAGAACGGTGATGCGACACTCCCTCGTCTCTAGCATCCAGAAGCTTGGAGGGGCATTCCTGCACCGCAGGAAGAGAATGGACATATTTGAGACAGATGATCCTCACTGTGAATGTATTTCCAAGGATCTGGGAACAACCCTCAGAGTGTTGTTGCCTTCTGAATGGCAGATTGATCAGGACTAGAAGGGCCTCTTCAGTCCAAACTTCGTTGATCTTGACACTTCAGATTTCAGAAAATCTCAGCCAATGTGGTCCTTGAAAAAAAATTGCGAAAGAAGAAAAGGAGCATTTCATAGTTCTTATATTATTAAGGATTTGGCTTGTGGAGTTAATGCAGTTTACAGTGTTTTCTTTTCATGATCAGTTTTGGCATTCTTGTTGTGGGAGGTGTGTGTCTATGAACAGAACCCCAGAATATGGCACTTGCCAACAGGAAATGAGATGGCCCAACTTCAGTTGTTTTCTCTGCCATTTGGGGAAAACATTTCTTTAACGTAATGCCACGTCAACTCACTTAGTAGTACGGTAGCCGTGTATAGCTTCCTGCTTGAGCAACTATGTCCTTGTTGTGGGGCATTTGGGAATCCTGCTGCCTGCTCCTCTCTTCAGTTTTCTGTCTTATTTCCTTGTATCCTTTGTGGTTTGTAATTTGGATTACCCATTCATATATGTATCAGTATATATATGTGTGTGTATATATATATATATATTCACATATCTATCTCTATATTCAACAGGTTTTCTGTTATTTTATGCCTTTTATCACAGGATGCTGCCACTCAGAATGTGTTCCATTTCAGTGGCTAATTGGTTTTTCTCCTGCTTTGCTCATTTTCACTCTGCAGAACTTGATTGGGCTCAGATTACACTGCAGTGGAGCATTCACTCATTCTTCCTTAAGCTTATGCCTATTTTTGCTACTATCGTTGGGAATTCTCTTAGTTTCACGAATTTTTTTTTTTTTTCTATTTTAACGGGACTTCGAAAGAGAGGCCATTGCCAGAAGTGTTATATATATATTTTGGAGTAAAGTCAACTTTTTTTTGTGTGTAATAAATCCTGTATCCTTGTGTTTGTGCACATCAGAGCTTGCCGTAGTTTAATTGCAGGCTCTCGTGATCCCTTCCATATCTTGTCCCTTGCAGACAGCACACAGTTGGACCCAGCCTCTGCGGTTCCCAGGCCTCGTCTAGGACCAAATTCATCAGCCTCGGTGGCGCCTGGCCTTTGCCTCTGCAGGGTCGTCTCGCACCACAGGGGCACACAAAGCAGTTCATATGGCATTTAAAATAGTTTTGTTAAATGTCCTTCTGTTTTCCTAGGTGCAATTGTTTAACTCATCTTTGAATCCTTAGCATCTGTCACGGTCCATGGAACGTAGTAGATGCTTCGGAAATGCTTGCCGTGTGGATACTTACAGGAGTCGTACTGGACTTTTCCCTTAGGTGTAAGGCGCAGGGCAGAGATGGGGTGTCCGCGACGGCAGTAAGACGGAGGAGTGCTTGCTCTCTTGTTTAAGAAAACCAGTTCCTCAAGCTTGGGGAGTATCCCTTTGTAAAGAAACGTTTATGCATATTATGTATACATAATATAATTTATGGGAAAGTTTATTACAGCTTAGTTTCGTCTCAAATGGATTGTAAGCTCTTTTTGGCCAAGGTGGTGTCTTAATACTGCCGCTGTTTCTTCTACTTTGTCTCTGTGTGGGTGGTAGGCCCTCTGCGCTGGCTGATGATGAAGAAAGCAGAGAAGTAAACACACCTCTCAGCTGTTACATGAATTAAAAGTCTGTGTCTGTCACTGTGCTGGGCCAGGAGCTTTTTTAGGGCGCAGAGCATATTGTGTTTATCTCTGTATCCACAACATGCAGCACAGTGCCTGAATTTCAGTAGGAATTTGATAGCTCTTGGTACTTACGTTGACTAATCTCCTTGGAAGAAAAGGACTTCATAAGCTGCAGATGTTAACGAGATCATACATTGAGTGGATCCATGGGTTACATGCATTTGAAGCGTTACTGTTATTTGAGTGCATAATTGATAAGCTCTGACATCCTTAGATGTTTTTCTTCATTCCCACTCTGCATGTTCCTTTAACGTAATTAAGCAAAGAACACCTCTCTTTCCCCTTCTCTGCAGGCTGCCATGGCTGCTGTTGACAGCTTCTACCTCTTGTATAGGGAGATTGCCAGGTCATGCAATTGCTACATGGAAGCTCTGGCCTTGGTTGGGGCCTGGTACACAGCCAGGAAGAGCATCACTGTCATCTGTGACTTCTACAGCCTGGTCAGACTGCATTTCATCCCACGCCTGGTGAGCAGAGCAGATCTGATCAAGCAGTATGGAAGATGGGCCGTTGTGAGTGGTAAGAAAGGAGATTTCAGTCCTTGCCTGATTTCAAAACAGAATTCTCTCTTCTGTGTAAGCTGTGTTTTCAGTGGGGTGCCTTATTCGAGGAGCCACTGAACTCACTGTGATGTGTTCACGGGAACACAGTTCTGTTGTGATTCTGTCCACATTTTCTCACTGCCCTCCTCTTGGAACAACTTTTGCCGTTCTTATTCTGCCCTCCTGTTCCCGGTCCTGCCTCAGCCCACCTTCCCACCTCTTGTTTTTCCTTTCGCTCCCTTTTGAGATTATCCTTAGAAATTGTCACCACTGTCAGTCAGTTCCCTTATTTTAAATTTCATTTTGATTTCTCATTGTTTCCCAGGAAAGTACCTCCCTGGCACTCGTTCAAGCCAGATATAAGTTTGAAAACTGTTTCCTGCTGTATCTCACTACCAGCTCGGTGAACGTGAGACTACCCTTCCTCTACTTATCAGGGGGTCTGGAAGAGTGTTTGACTAAGGTGTCGTTCATCTTTGGATTCGACATTGTACTCGACATAGTGATCAGTATGAGAACTGGGTTTATTTCTAGTGTGAATCCTTCTCAGCTTAAACCCAGAAATGGGGTATTTAAGGTTTGCTCTGAAGGTCACACCGTGAAACGAGCATGCTCACATTCCCTGGCCTGTATTGCAGGTGCGACCGATGGGATCGGCAGAGCGTACGCAGAAGAGCTAGCAAGCCATGGTCTCAATATCATCCTGATGAGCCGCAATCAAGACAAGCTGCAGGTGGTCGCTAAAGACATAGCTGACACCTACAAAGTGGAAACCGAAGTTATAGTTGCGGACTTCAGCAATGGCCGCGAGATCTACGACCCGATTCGAGAAGCCTTGAAGGACAAAGACATTGGCATCTTGGTGAATAACGTAGGCGTGTTTTATCCCTACCCCCAGTATTTTACTCAGGTCTCCGAGGACAAACTCTGGGACATCATAAATGTAAACATTGCTGCGGCTAGTTTGATGGTCCATATAGTGTTACCAGGGATGCTGGAGAGAAAGAAAGGTGCCATTGTCACTATCTCATCTGGCTCCTGCTGCAAACCCACTCCCCAGCTGGCTGCGTATTCTGCTTCTAAGGTAATGTCATCCTGATTAGGACAAAAAGTCATAAAGCAAGAGGACATTTATTATGTGGTTTGGTCCAGTTTGTTGAGCTCTTTGTCCCCAGCTCGTGTTAACTTATGCTGTACTTTTTCCTGAAATGGTAATAAGCAAGCCAGTTTTCTTCTGAATTTTCTTTCAAGTACCCCCCCGCCCCACCCGTTAAGTCTTTATCCTTGTTCGGTTTTAACAGGCTTATTTAGACCACTTCAGCAGAGCACTGCAGTATGAATATGCTTCTAAAGGAATCTTTGTACAGAGTCTCATCCCATTCTACGTGGCCACCAACGTGACCACACCCGGCAGCTTTCTGCACAAGTGTCCATGGTTGGTGCCTTCACCGAAAGTTTATGCACATCATGCTGTTTCTACCCTTGGCATTTCGAAAAGGACCACAGGTTACTGGTCCCATTCTATCCAGGTAACAGTATGCACTCAACTCTTGTAATTAGGTTAATGCATCCTAAACCCTTCTAAATGATACATGGCAATCCGAATGAAGCCTACTGCTGAAACGTGAGAATTGCACATTCTGATTCTTAAACCTGACACTCGTAGTGGTTCTGGTTAAGTCCCTAAATTCTCTTCTGTGCAATTCTTACTGATAGTTTAATCCGTTTGGCACCTAAGAGATGAAGTATGCTGCTTTACTATAGGAAATGGCGAGAGTATAAAATACTCAGTATTCATGGGGACTCTTTGCATAAAGATTATTAAATTTGCCTTCACCACATAAATAGATAAGAAAATCAACATTAGTTCTTACTTTTATTGAAACATTTGGGTAAAAGTTGCTTTAATCCGAAGGAGCTTTATTTATTCAATCCTCTGTCAATTTTTAACTCATAAGGAGTTTCCTGGAAGAAGTTTGATGTGTCAAACACACCTTATAAAGTGATTTCTGTGCTTATCCCGGTGAGTCTTCCACCTTAGGGCCTGAGTAAGAGTGATAGCCTGTGTTGGCTTTAGGATCTTGGAAGTGCTCAATGCCTTGGATGAAGGCAGTTTGGGGAGTCTTTGAGGGAGCCGTGGATTGCAGTGAGTAGGTGGGTGTGGGGAGGGCCATGGCAACTGCCCACTCCACAAATAAGGCTGTGCGGGCACGGCAGCAGGTGGATTTGGCCGGAGGAAGCCGTTGTATTTGTTATTCCATTTCGAGCAGCAGAGATGTGGCTGGGAGTAAGTGCTGGTGGGAAGGGGTGTGTGGAGAAGAGCAGCACAAGGATGGGGGGAGGGGAGAAGGCATGGTTCCGGGCAGTGGAGGCAGGACCCAGAGCACAGTGGGGGAGACGAGCAGGGGCTGCTGACTGCTGGCTCCTGTGAGTGGGGGCTTGCGGAGTGGGGAGGTTTGAAGTGAGAGTGTCGGGGGCGGAGAGCGGGGCGCTGCTCCTGTGTGAGGGACCCTTGTGGGAGCCCCAGCCGGGATGGCCTCTGCAGTGATTTCACAGCCTTTTACTGATCATTGCTAAGTCTGCATAAACAGTTCTTTTTGATGACTGTGCACAGAGTTTAGGGCGGAGGCGTCCTTGCTCCGCGCTGGCCCAGCCCTTACGGATGTCGGCAGGACACCATTTCTGCACAGGAGCTGTTTGGGAGCCAGCCTCTGTTGCCTTCTTGGCGTTCATGTGATCAGATGACGGTGTCTTCCTTGTATTGTGCTAGTTGTCTTAACGATTTGCAAGCAGAAAATAGAAAAAAATGATTTGAACTTAAAACAGCTATAAAGGAGTCAAATGTCTTGGCTTTGTTAACTAGTCATCAGTGTTGATTTGGGAGCCTTTCTTCTTGTTTTCAGAAGTGCACGAGGCAGGGTTGTCAGCTTCGGAACACAGAGTAAGGCGGAAAAGCTTGTAGCCTTCTGTTTGGGTTACTTGACGTGAAGGCCAGAAGCACGTGGGTATGTGTTAGGTTGAAAAAGCCGTTAACTTGACAACTTGACCAGTAAGTGTCTTATTACTATGGGGGCTGTGTTCCTGGTGTAGGAAGACAGAAAAAGCCACAGGGACTGGCAAGTGGCGGGGGGGGGGGCGGCGCGTCTGAGCTCTCTGGATGGGCCTGCAGTCTGCTCTCAATTTCTACCCACTTTAGGCATGTTTGTTTCCACGTAGTGCGTGTGTGTTGCTATTGGAAAAAAGAAGACGTGGCATTTAGAGAAGAGGGGAGCTGGTTGGCCTTGAGAAGGCTCTGGGGCTGCACATTGAGATGTGCGTGAGGGTCCAGGGGAGGCAGGCCAGCAGCCATGTCAAGAGGTCAGGGCCCTCCTGCCCAGCCTGGGTTCCCACGCCCGCTGCCAGCCAGGAAGGGAACTGGGAACCACACACCTTCACTGCAGCTTTGTTTCTACCTTTGGAATAACTCTGGCTTGAGGATCTAGCCCAAGTTCTTTGTGATCTTTTCCTTCCTTTCCATCTCCATTTCTTACCTAGGTCCTAACCATCCCAGTCTCTGGGAAATATACGGCATCGGTATTTTCATTGCCAATGCAGATTTCCAGCCAGCTGTACATGTGCATTTGACATTGACTTCCTCCTCTGGAGCTGGCTCCCCACAGGGGCTGTCAGTTACCGTTGGCTTTTGTCGCAGGGGAGGACAGCTCCTTTCCTAGGCCTAGACAGGTGGGTCAGGTCTCTGAACATGCACAGAGCCTTCCAGAGCCAAAGATCCAGCCCTCCCTCCCCTCCCCGCTCTCACTCACTCCTCTAAAGAAGTAGATGAGTCACCCCTTTAGTTTCTAATCTATCAGTACACAGAGGATGCAGTTCTCTCCTCTTCCATTAGCTCTCTCCATTCTGCTCCCCAGGGTGCTAAGACCCATTAGGATAAGCCAGAAATGGTGTGCCTGTGAGGGCTCTATACATAGCACCGTAAGAAACTGGCAAGGTGCGTCCTGCTGCTGGTCCCCTGTGATAGACAGTGGCCGTACTGAATGGAAATTAAAAACAAACAGATTTCTAGGTGTTGATCCCTCCTCCATTAAATAAATGCTGAAAAAATGCATAGTAGTCCTCCCCTTATCAGTGGGGATATGTTCCAAGGCACCCAGTGGACGCCCAATGGACGCCCGAAGCCATGGATAGTGCCGAACCCTATACAGACCGTGTTTTTTCCTGTCTGTGCGTGCATACCTGTGATAAAGTTACTTTATAAAGTAGGCACAGTGAGATGTTAACAACAATGACTAATAATAAAATAGAACAATTTTAACAGTATCCTAAAATAAAAGTTATGCGAAGGTGGTCTCTCCAAAAATACCTGTATGGTTCGCAGCATTCCGGTTGTGGGGACATGACACGATAAAATGCCTGTGTGAGCAGAGGGAGTGAGGGTGCGTCGCGTTAGGCTTCCGTTGACAGGGCGGGAAGTCAGGAGGACCATCTGCTCCTGGACCACGGTTGACCTTGACCGTGGGTAACTGAAAGTGTGGAAAGCAAAACCAGGACAGTGGGGGCGCCGCTGTACATGGAAGAGGGGGTCCAGTTCTGTAGTCCGTCGCAGGTGCCTGCGTGCCTGAGCGCATCCCTACTTCCAGGGTCCTCCTAAGGGACCTGAAGCTGACTTCTTTTATCTCCTTATGTTTGGAATCTTTCGCTTTAAAACAGTAGCTCCAAGGAGGAGTATCCCAGTATTTTATCCACAAAATCCTGGCTCTTTAAAGAGGTCCAGAGAGACCTTAGTTGTGTCCCCAGAAAGTTTCCCATGGCTCCTGGTCAAATACGGGGCTCCTGTCTCTGAGGTGGCGAGGTGGAGCTTCTCTGGGACCTGTAATGGACTGCTGCAACTGTCCCTGATACTGGGACCCCTCCTATTTAGTGCGGCTTCCCTGGGTCTGGGGTGACCTCTGTTTATTTCTGTTCAAGGCTAGAATTTTAGCACTTGCCAGTGGCCTGTTCATCTCCCTTCCTTCCTTTTTTTTTAAAAGTAAGCTCTTTGCCCATGATGGGGCTTGAACTCACGACCCCGGGATCAAGTGTTGTATGCTCCACCAACTGAGACGGGCCTCCCATTCGTCTCCCTTCCTTACCATAGAGTTAGAACTTGTGCTCACCTCAGTCTTGGACAAACGCGTCTGCACAGCGCAGGGTTTCTCCCCATCAGCACTGTTGGCATCTGGTGTTGGACAATCCCTTGTGGGGAGGCTGTCCTGGGCACTGTAGAATGTTCAGCAGCATCCCTGACTTCTACCCACTGGCTGCTGGTAGCAGCAGCACCCTAGGTGTGATGACAAGGAAGGTTTCCGGACATTGCCATATATCCCCCCACCCCTCGGGAGGGGGGGTAGGGCCCTGGTGGAGAAGCCTCGGAGCAGTCAGCCGGACTCCCTACCTGCGGGCCCAGGCCGTCCCCATCGCGTCTCAGGACCTCGGCCCAGGGTCCCAGTGTTTTTGACTCTTGTTTCATTTCACACCAGCCTGCCCCTCACACAGTACTAATCACGGATGCATTTATCCATTTCAGCTGCCCTTTATTCCTGGAGTGGTTTTGTCATTCTTAACCAAATGAATATGTTATTGATACCAGGTTAAGTAAGGATGGGATTGTATTACTGCGTGTGAGTCTGTCCAGCCTCATTAGAGAGGGGTGGGCAGGCAGTGGTCACGTGTGTTGTATTCCCAGGGAGTCTAGCATAGGTTCTTATGCAAAAATAGGTGCTTGGGTACAAGAGCCTAAGGGCTTTTTCTTTTTTTTTTTTGTATTTACTTTGGTGATATTTGTTGTATTAAGTCATATACTGACACTTAAGGGTCTGTGCTTTGGGTTCTAACCTTCTAACCTTTTTCTCTTTCATTTTTAGTTCCTTTTTGCACAGTATATGCCTGAATGGCTCTGGGTGTGGGGAGCAAATGTTCTCAATCGTTCTTTACGTAAGGAGGCCTTATCCTGCAAAGCATGAAACTGCATGATGGTTTGGGAAGTTTTGCCACCTCCTGAGAACCTGCAGTATTCTGACGTTTGGAAGGACACATTTAATTTATCTTCTGTATTTTCTTTTATTACTGGTTTTATTACTGGTTGATTTAGCATACTGTTGACTTATCATTTGCAAAGCACACATAATACTTCTAGAAAATGCTGTGGAGAAACCACAAGGGCCGCATCACGTGGATGGCACAGAGCACACAGTGACTGAGGCACAAGAACCTATTGAGGGAACCTAAATTGTTATGCTTCTCTTTTATTTTCTCGAAGCTGTCTCAAAGCCGTGTGATTTATGTTGTTCTAGGAGCTATAGCAATCTGCTATTGAAATATAATATGACTTGTCAGCTCTCGTAGTTTCCAATGTTTTTTAAGGGAAATCATTTCAGTACATGAATTATAGTATTGGTTCATCAGGAAAGACTAAAGTGTTATAAGTAAGATCGCTGGTGTAATTAGCAGTAGAGATCCATGTATATCCTATTGTATAGCTCTGTTTGACTCTGTGTATGAAAATGCTGCTCTTCAAGCGATATTTCACTAGAGAACCATGTGTGTATATTTGTTGTGTACGTCCGGGCAACTTTATTTATGGGTAAGTTACTTTTAAAAAGATGTTTTGCTAAGGTGGCTTAACGTGGAAACTTACGGGGTCTTGAAATTCTAGGTTACTCCTTTTCGCACTACACAAGCCTACCCGATTTTGTGCTTTAGGTTTGCCGTGTATAATATCATACATTCTGTTGGTGGTTTTTTCTTTTATCTGTGAAATTAGTTCATTCTTTCTTAGATTTGAACCTATAATGGTTGACCCTCAGTCATCTCTTGATTTATAATTATTGTGGGTAAGTAGTGATTTCTCAGCCTATGACCCGTTTTATAACTGAAAGTTAGCCCTTTAGAGCTTGTTATATCTGGTTTTCATACACTTTTCTATGTAATATTCTCTTATAGTAGCGTTATTGGAGTAAACATCAATTACTTGTGGAATAGTGGTTAAAATATGGACAAATTATGTGTGTGATATATTGTAATGTGTTAAAATAAGTTAGCTCATTCTTGGTTTGTGTAACAAATTTACGCATTACAGTGAACGCTTTTGTTGGTGTGACGATCATTGTGCGCAACCCCCCATGATAGGGGTTAGCTTTGACACCTACTGTGAAATAAATGTTTTTTGGCTCAGATCTTATAAAGCCAGACATTTTTGGGGACCACTCTCTAGTGCTTCAGCAACTGTAAACATCACTATATGAATGTGACAACATAATGCAAGTTAAGAATTTGGAGTTTATTACTGTGACACTGATGCAGAAACTAGTAAATTGGCTGAAATCAGGACTTGTATGGAATTGCTTTCATCTGAGATGGTATTCCATTAGGAGTTAGGCCTGGGCATGCCTTTATGGCACACCCACAATTTTGTCAGTGCCGTTGCCTCAGTATTTCCAGATCTGACTTGGACTCCGAAGATCAGTGGTTGAGTTCAGAACCTCTTCCATGTATAGACCAGGCCTTCATTACACAAAAGAAGACCTTCAGATATGAAAACTTGCTAGCGGTGTTACACAGCACGGAAGGTGTTGATGGAGTCTGCTTGGAGGCCTTCATTTTGTCACATTTGGCAATTTTCCCTCACCTAACAATTAACTTATGGTCATTAAGACTAGAGACAATTTGACTTCCTGCCACATCAGCCTGAATTGTAATTGACATGTAGTAAGAAGCAGCAACTGTATGTAAAAGCACCATATTTCTATCTCAGGAGTTACGTGGCACAGCGGTGTTTCTATTTATAGGTTATGGACTGAGTCACTGCCAAATGACGAAAATAAGTAAATCACGTCAGTGATGTTTGCAAATTCTCTACTTGGCAGGACATGTGAAAGTAAGCCGACGGGTGCAAAGCTAGTAAAAGATCAAAACCAAGAATCTTCCTTAGGTTTCCTCTTTGATAAAATACTTTTTCCCAGAGCTCATTTGAGAATCATCATTGGGCCACTGTAGGTGGGGTTTCTTACTAAGAATGTGGAAAGTTAAGAACCTTTGAAACAACCAATAAAAATTTCTTCTGCTTCCTGTGGGAGAGGTTTAGTTCCATGTATTTGTATTTGGAATGAGAGAGAGATCTTTTCCCCCATAGAAACAATTACTTTAAAAGTAATCTATGGCTCTTTGGGGTCTGCCGCGGAAACAAGATGACGAAGGGTACGTCATCGTTTGGAAAGCGTCGCAGTAAGACGCACACGTTGTGCCGCCGCTGTGGCTTGAAGGCCTACCACCTTCAGAAGTCCATCTGTGGCAAATGCGGCTATCCTGCCAAGCGCAAGAGAAAGTATAACTGGAGTGCCAAGGCTAAAAGACGAAACACCACTGGGACCGGTCGAATGAGGCACCTAAAAATTGTATACCGCAGATTCAGGCATGGATTCCGTGAAGGAACAACACCTAAGCCCAAGAGGGCAGCTGTTGCAGCATCCAGTTCATCTTAAGGATTTCAACGATTAGTCACACAATAAACGTTCTGGTTAAAAAAAAAAAAAAAGTAATCTATGAACACCTATGGTACTAATTCATTAAAAGCTGGTAATTCAGCAAGAAAATTGTGCATAACCATGCGTCTATTAAGTCTTTTGAAATAGACTACGTAGATTTCTTGAGCTCATTCTCCTGATAGGTTGAGTAGATAGTTGAAGGTAGATTTTGATCGACTTTGGCAACATGGAGATCGCTGCTGGTTTTGCCATGAGCCATTTTTGTCACATGGTGGGGAATAAAGGGTAGATTGTAGTGGGTTCAAAAGAGTGGAAAGAAAAAGGGAGACAGCAAGGAGAGAGCTCTTTTGAGGAGTCTCCCTCAGTTTTAATGTCAATTACTCAAAATCTTACCCCATTTGGGAACCAGGGGGTTTAGGTGGTGTCGTCTCAGTCTTGACATCATGTATCCTCCTAAACCAAGTCCAGTCTGTGTCTCTCTCTCGCTGCTGGATCGGCTCTTAAGTCTTTAAAATAGTATTCAGTTTGAATAAAGATATACCTTCCCGTGGAATTTGCAACTTCCTTATTATACACATAAAGCATGAAGTTATTGTAGAACCTGAAGTGGTGGAAAACCGACAGACCAGGATCCTGTGGCTCTCATCCTTTCTTGGTAGATTTCCAGAACACCTCTCTCATACTCTGCCCACCTGCAGCTTATAGGGTTCTTGGAACTGGCAGCAGTGTCCCGTTCCCTACTTTGGGGCTTTGCTATCACATGACAAGGATTTTTGCAGTTCACTAGCCTACCTCAGTTCCTGACAGTTGGGTTGTGTATTCAATGGCACAGTGACTTCAAGGCCTGTGAAAAGAACCGTGGCCTAGACCGATTTGCCCCACGTTAGAACACCACAGCGAAGCTTAAGCTCAAGTGCATTATATGGTGGCAGCAGGCACTGCTTAACTTAGGAGGATTTGCCAATGCGAAAGAGTCAAGAATTCTCTGGAAGTTCCTAACATGGATGCGATCTCAGGATGGGGAGAAGAACTTAATCAGGTGTAGGTGGGTCTAGATATTAAGCACCATTGTTTATTGAACATGGTGTTTCATTGAACCCTCATCCTGTGAGATACAAATACGTCTTTTGGGTAAGGAAGGTGAGGTACACTGAGCCGAGGTACAACTTGCCCAAGATCACAAATCTAGTAGGTGATGGTGTATTAACTTAGTATACTAAACCAGTTTGGTTAAAGAATGATAAAGGGAATACGAAGTGCTGTGCTTTCGTGTCACGTTGGTGCCACTCAGCATTATCGTGCTGCTGTGGAAAGTTCAAACAAGATATAAACAGTTTTATCTGACTGTATAGCACATCCCTTTTCAAAAACATTACCAAAAACATGTTTCAGTCCTCCACCTGTACACAGCGCCAAGTGTGGGCCGGTTCCACACGTGGGCAGAAAACAGCCCGCGATCCTAGTATCTAAGCCACGCAGGCATTTTGGGGGAGGCCAACGTTTCTGAGTTGAACGCACCGAGCCTTGTTTAGTCAACTAGGGTAACCACTGGGCATCAGTGGTCCCGGCGAAGTGGGGAGCGGACCGGAGCCGGGGCGGGCGGAGCAAGCGCGGCTGGGGCAGCGGTTTCGCCGCCAGTGGGGCGGGGGGTCCCCGGGCCCGGAGCCAGCCGCCTCCCCGGCCCGTCCCGGCGGGCGCGTCGGACAAATGGGCAGAGGCTTGCAGAGGTGCGTGCCTGGGGGTGCCGCCCGAGCCTGGCCCCGGATCCGGACCCCGCTGGGCCCCAGGAAGAGGGCGCTGCGCTGGGAGCTCTCGGGCGTTTACGGCAAATGCTGGCCGTTCCGCCAGGATCGTCATCCCTGGGCCCTGGCCCCGCGCGGCCGCTTTCGGGTCCCACGTGCAACCATCCAGAAGGTCCACGGCCCAACCCCCCCCCCCCAGCCCCGCCACCGACCTGGAGCCGGAAGGCTCGCCGCCCCCCCTCCCCCGGCCGCAAGTGTCACGAGACCCTTGTCCGGCCGGCCGGCCCGGGCCCGGCGGCCCCTGGCGTCCGGAGCGCGCACGCAGGCCCACGCAGGGGACGCAGGGGACGCACAGCCGGCGGGGCCGGCGCTCCCGGCACTCCCAGCGGTCGGGCGCCCCGCCCCGGTCGCGCAGGCTCGCGAGAGTTGGGGGTAAACAGCCCCGAATGGAGACGCGAGGCGTGTTCGCCGTGGAGGTGCCGTTATCCCGGGACCGCGGGACCCGAGCTTGAGGCGGCAGCAGGTAGGTTAGGCGGAGGCTCGCTCCCCCACCTGCCGACCTGTGCAGCCGCCTGCGCGTCCGAGGCCCCAAGGGCGGGGGTGTGCGCCGGCGGCGGCCGGGGCCGGGGCCTCCCTGCGCCCCTGGACCCTCCGGGAGCGGCACAGAGGAGCCTGGGGAGGGGGACAGACGGGAAGACGGGCGGACGGGTTGACGGGCGTTTTCCAGCACCCGAAACAGCGCGTGCGGCTGTGCTCGGCAGGCTGCGGCCGGGGGCCCTGCGCGGCCCTTTTTCCGGGCTCACGCGGGGTGCTGGCTTGCTCAGCCTCACCGTTTTCTCCCCCTGAAATAAACTTCAACGGAGTGAAACCGTGTCCTAGGCGCCGACCCTCAGCTTCCCGGCGCACCCGCGGTTCCGGGCCGGCTCCCGTAGGGGCTCCGGGATCACATTTTCAACGACCTCGGTTCTTTGCATGTCCCAGTCTGAGCACACTGCTGGACGTCCCGATTTTCAGGAATGCAGTGCAGGAAGCTCGTCGGCAAGGTGGGCCCGAGAGACTCCTGCCTTGCCCTGTCATGTCTGTGCTACCTAAGACTAAGTCTAAGACTGCTATATTGTGGATTATCAATATCATTTTTATTAAGATGTGTACCCTTTGTTTTGGTGAGAGCTCCTGGGAATGTTGGCCAGTTTGTCTGTGCAAATTGAGTTAAATACTTTAGGTTCCGAAGGACACTTCCAAGTGAAATAAAGTAGCAAAGATCTCAGAGCTGAACTCCGTAGAATTTATTTTCCTGTGGCCCTTTAGCCTTAGCTGTGCTAGTAAGCAACCCACCTGCAGCGTCTCAGTTTGCATTTGTTGAAGAGTGAGGAGCTTGGAGAACTGATTCTTCCCAACTTTTTTTTTCTTTATCTGCAGCGCACGTTTTATATATGTATTTTATGTCAGTGCTTTGTTCAGGTAAAATTTACATACCATAAAATTCACTTGTTTTACATGTACTTATTCAGTGTTCTTTTTTTTCCCCAGTAAATATGCAGAGTTGTGCAGTCATCACCACAACCCACTTTTAGAACATTTTTGTTACCCCAAAAAGATCCCTGGTGCCCATCATGTTCAGTCACTACCCATTTCTGACTCCAGCCCCAGGCAACCACTAATCTGCTCTTCTGACTCCCTAGACTTGTCTCTTTTGAATATTTCATTGAGGTGGGATCATCTGTGGCCTTTGTGTCTGGGCTCGGCTCAGTGGGACCCTTGCCCATTCAGCCTCTCCATTGCACTCCCCATGCATCTCTCATATTCAAGAGTTGGTTGTATCTGTGAAAAAAGAGAAATTCTAATTTAGTGCTTGCAGAGTCTTTGCAGGACATGGGGCCCCATGGGATCAAGCTGGATATCTTCTAGCTAAATTTTTAGCATTCCCTTCAAATTCACATGTTTGATTCCATCTTCTGTCATTCTAGTGGTAGATAGTTACTGTTCTGCCCTGCCTACTGCTTCTTTTGTGTGGCAGCCACAGTTAAGTGTCATAAATAGAGTAACAGAGGCTAGGAGGGGTGAACACTTAGGTAAACTGCACCTGGCTTCCATTTGTGTCCTGTGTGGGGTTTTTAGGGGGAGATTTGCAACTGCCTCTTTGCACCAGGAGAGAATTGAGATGTTGTTTGTATTTCATTGGAAAAACTTGACAACTCCAGCCCTTTGTGACTTGAAATATTAATTAAGGATGGGAGGCTAGACCTTGCTTTTGGTATTTGGGTGGGGGACTTTGGTCTCCGTCAGCATCTTGCCTGAGACAGTCCAAAGAGGTGGTAAAAACAGACACATCGATTTTCCCTTCCCTGTGGCCTAATCAGTTTTGACGGGCTGCAGAGATCTGTTACCTAGATTTACTAATCTTGACGATGTCTTTGCTTAAGGAAATGAGTTTCAAGTAAAATGAGGAAAGTTCTGGGTTTGGAGGTGCCTGCCTCGTGCGGCTGGCTAGCTAGTACTGGATGACTGAAGGATCAGGAGAATAAGGAGATGGACATAGCACCCGTGAAAGAATAGGCAGTAAAGGACAGTGTAGACAAGCACCTATTGATTCTTTGGGCTGAATTACTTGTTTTGTCCCGCTAATGGACAGATTGTGCCAGAAGGAATGGTTCAGTCAGTCTGAAGAATACACCTTTATTTCAAGATAGTGTGGTCTGGCATCGTTTAAATGTTAGCTGATTAAACAATGGTAGTACGGCCAAGGATGCAATTAGTTATGAAAGTGGTACTTTTACAGCCAAAGTTTAATTGAACTGAATGCTACCCTTTTGTGGCCTAAACACAATTCAGTTTTCCCTGGCGCTATTTCAGTAAAGGTTCATTAAAAAAGCTAGTGTATCTAAATAGTTAGATGACTGTCGGGTGATACAAGTAATTTCCTCTCCCCTGAATTGTGTTCTTATTTGCAAAGAAGTGATTTCAGATACACTTTAGCTATACTCAGAATTATAATCTGAGTGATATTCTATTATAATGCGAAGTAGAAGAACCTGAGCTGCAAGGAATGTTAGCTGTCAGACCAGTTGTTTGCCCAGGTATACATTTCCTCTACTTGGTCTCCTTTTTAAACATAGCTCATTAAATCTTCTTCCGGGCATATATTGTTTGAACTGTTTATTTTCCATTTAGTATTGATGTCAAATATGTTTTGATTACACCTGTATTAGAGGCATACTTATTAACAGAAAATCCATGATTGTGCACATACCATCTTTTAGGGCATACCTTTGTATGGAAAGATCACCAGGTCTTCTACATAAAGAATTTATAGAAATTAAATCCAGTAAACAGTGGATCCAGTAACAGCTCTAGCTAGGCCCTATGAGTAGGTGATATGGCGCATGATAAGCCTGTTCAGAATAAACGAGCGAAAAGCTTGGCCTGGAGCTCTAAGGTAGACACACACAGATTTTTTTAACACAATTCCTAGGAAATAGATCCCTTTTAATCTCTACTGTGTGTACAGATAAAACCAAATCTTTGGGGCGCTTGGGTGCTCAGTCGGTTAAGCGTCTGCCTTCAGCTCAGGTCATGATCCCAGGGTCCTGGGATCGAGCCCCACATCAGGCTCCCCGCTCCGTGGGGAACCTGCTTCTCCCTCTCCCTGCTGCTCCGCCTCCTTGTATTCTCTCTCTCTCTCTGTCAAATAAACAAATAAAATCTTTAAAAAAAAAACAAAAACAAATCTTTGGGGTGCCTGGCTGGCTGAGTTGGTGGAGTGTGTGACTCAATCTCAGGGTCATGAGTTTGATCCCCATATTAGGCATCTTAGGGATTACTTAAAAATAAAATTTATTTAAAAAAAAAACCTAAATCTTTAATATATTTTGAATCTTTGTGCCACTGTGTTACCAGAAAATTTGTTTTTCTATAAGAGTTTTACTAAAGTACTTAAATAGTTATCTAATTATGAAAGTGTAACATAGGCTCTTTGTAAAAATGTAAATGACCAGAACTAAGACCATAACTCCCTGTACTAATACCATTGAGAGGTAGGACTACTGTTACCTTGTGGCAGAGGTCTTTTCCTTTCCTTTTTCTCCTGTTATAGATACATTATTTAAAAACCGAAATTTGACCATTGTCCGTGAACTGTTTTACTTAATATTGCATTAACTTTTCCCCGTATTCTTTGGGAAATATATTCAAGACCTATGGCTGCTCTAACAAATTTCTACAAACTTAGTGATTTAAAACAGTACCAGTTTATTATCTTACAGTTCTGGAGGTCAGTAGTCCAAAATCAGTGTCACTGGGCTGACGTCAGGGTGTCGGCAGGGCTTCATTCCTTCTGGAGGCTCCAGGTGAGATTGTTTCCTTCCCTTTTTTGGTTTCTAGGGGCACCTGCGTTCCTTGGCTCCTGGCCTCTTCCTCTGATTACCTCAGCCTCTGGCTTCCATCATCTCTCTCCTGCTGTCAGTGGGGGAGTAGCTCAGTGGGCCTGCCTCCGTCTTGTACAGACTCTTGTAATTACATTGGTCCCACTTGGATTATCCAGAGTACTCTCCCCATCTCAGGATCCCTAGTTGACTCGTACCTGCAGAATCTCTTTGACCATATAAAGTAACATTTACAGGTTCTGGGGATGAGGATGTGGATATCTTTGGGGGACCATTACTCAGCCTTCTAGAGGAACATAATTTGAAATTGCTACACAGCATTCCATAGTTTTGGTTAATCAGCTAGTCTCCTATTGCACATTTAGATACTCTCTAACTTTTCCTGGTTATAGTCTTTGGGTGTAAATCATTGTATGCTCTCAGATTCACACTTCTATGAAATGAATTTCTAGGGGAGATTTTATTTTATTTTTTTAAAAAGATTTAAAAGAGAGCGCGTGCATGTGTGTGCTTGTGAGCTGAGGGGAGTGGCAGCGGGAGATGGAGAGCGAGTATCAAGCGGACTCGGGCTGAGCGTGGAGCCCGACACAGGGCTTGATCCCGTGACCCTGAGATCATGACCTGCGTCAAAACTAAGAGTCGGACACTTAACCGACTATGCCACCAAGGCGCCCCTCCAGGGGAGATTTTAGAAAAGCAGGGTAACCTACCTCTTAAGAGGGTGGCCTCCATGCCAGACTACTCAAGTTCCCAGCTGGCTTTCCCACTCACTGCCACGTGGCTCCAGGCCCATTGATGAGCCACCGTGGGCACCTCTGTGTTTTCATCTGGAAAGGGGGGTGGTTAGTAACAGGTTGGGAAGATTGCTTAGAATAGCAACTGCCACAGAATAAATGCTGCATGAGAGAGACACAGCAAGAGAGGGAACACAAGCAGGGGCAGTGGGAGAGAGAGAAGCAGGCTTCCTGCGGAGCAGGGAGCCCGACACGGGGCTCGATCCCAGGACCCCGGGATCATGACCTGTGCTGAAGGCAGATGCCTATCGACTGAGCCACCCAGGCGCCCCCATTTTTAAGGCTTTTAATACGTATTGGTAAATGACTGTTGTAAAAGGTAACAGTTTTATTTACGTTCACTCACA